GCCCCCTATATTAGCATCAGCTGGGATTCCGTCGTCTCCTGCTGCCTTGTTGTTAGCAATGCTTCTTAAGGCCCATTCAACCTCACTCCTCAGGATGTCTGGTTCTAATTCATCAAAACTATCCTTGAAAACTATCCTCAAGATTATTATCCTTCCTATACAGATCTTCTGTATAGTCTCGCCACCTTCTCTTGATCTCTTCAGCTTCTGTTAGGTCCCTGCCATCTTTGTTTCTTATCATACCAATTTTTGCCTGAAATTTACCTCCAATGTTTCTAATTTTCTGGAAAAGGTCTCTTGTCCTTCCTATTCTGTTGTCTTCTTCCACTTCCATGCATTGCTTATTTAAAAATAGTTCCTTATCTCTTCTGGCTAACCTCTGGAATTGCGCATTTAACTGGGCATATCTCCCCTTATCCTGTTTCCTTTTGCTTTCCTCCTTTCTTGGGCTACTTCCAGTGTCTCAGCAGACAACCATTTTGCCTTCTTGGTTTTCTTTTTCTTTGGGACGTACTTTGTTGCCTCCTGAACAATGTCTTGGACTTTTGTCCATAGTTCTTCTGGGACTCTAAATCCAGTCCTTTAAATCTGTTCTTCACTTCCACTGCATATTCACTAGGAATGTTAGTGAGATCATATCTAACTGGTCTGTGTGTTTTCCCTGATCTCCTTAGTTTTATTCTAAATTGAGCAATAAGAAGTTTGTGATCTGAACTACAGTCAGCCCCAGGTCTTGTTTTCACCGACTGGATGGATGTCCACCAGCTTTGACTGCAGAAGATGTAGTCAATCTGATTTTGGTGTTGCCCATCTGGTGAAGTCTATGTATAGAGCAGTCTTTTAGGTTGTTGGAAGAGAGTGTTTGTTATACACAGCGAGTTTTCCTGGCAAAATTCTATCAGCCTGCGTCCCGCCTCTTTTTTTTTCTCCCAGACCATGCTTGCCTGTGATCCCAGTTGTCATTTGACTTCCCACCTTGGCATTCCAGTCTCCTGTAATGAAAATAATGTCTCTTTTTGGTGTATTATCCAGCAGGTCCTGCAGATCCTCAATAGAACTGATCTACTTCTGCTTCTTCAGCAGCTGTGGTTGGGGCGTATATTTGGATCACTGTAATGTTGAAAGGCTTTCCTTGCACTCGAATTGAGATCATTCTGTCATTTTTTGGGTTGTATCCAAGCACCGCTTTAGCGAATTTCTTATTAATTATGAAGGCTACTCCATTTCTTCGATGTTCCTCTTGTCCGCAGTAGTAGATTTGGTGGTCATCTGAAGTGGCCCATTCCAGTCCACTTCAGTTTGCTGACCCCCAGAATGTCTATCTTTAGTCTTGACATCTCACCAATAACAACATCCAATTTGCCCTGGCTCATAGATCTTACATTCCAGGTTCCTATGGTGCGTTGATCTTTAGAGCATCGGATTCGTCGTTCACCTCCAGTACCGTCGGCCGCTAGCCTTCCTTTCGGCTTTGAGCTAGCTGCGTCATCACATCTGGGGCTAGTTGAACTTATCCTCTGCTCCTCCCCAGTAGCATTTTGGCCATCTTCCCGACCTGGGAGTCCCATCTTCCAATGGCATACCGACATATCTCTGGTTGTACTGGTCCATTTAGTTTTCTTGGCAAGGATACTGGAGTGGTTTGCCATTGCCTTCCCCAGGGATCACGCTTGGTCTGACCTCTCTGCCACAACCATCCCGTCTTGGGTGGCCCTTCACGGTTTCGCTCATGACATCATTGAGGTGCTCAAGCTCCAGCGCCCCGACAAGGCGGTGATCCTTTGCTGAAGAACTAGGTCTTTGGTAAGGTTTATTTGAAGGTGTGGCTCCCAAGAACCGCCAAGAACTGGCTAATATTTTGATAACAGAGAGCAGAGGAGCCAATCAAGATAATTAAAAGAGCCATGATCTCAACATCAAATATATAGAACATATTTTCTATGTTTTGTCCATATTTTCTGTATGGACAAAATTATGAAAAATTTTATATTGTAAAACCTGTAACAGCGAAATGGTCATATGGCTCATTATATGCATAGCATGTAATATTCTTGAAACTAATTTGTTGCCAAAGTATCAGCATGAAAACAGACCAGGTAGATGACAGTTTTGAAATTTATTTAGCTTCTGACAATTTCAGTCTATCAAATACATTTTCACGAGTTCATATCCTTACAAGGGAAAATGCCCCAACCAAATATACAAGTGCTGCTAATCAATCACAGAGTATATTAAGTTTTTGTATGTCCTTCCTCTGTTTCTTGTGAAAGCTCCTCACTTTCTGTTTATGTTTTGTGTTGTAATAAAAACAAGAACTGGCAGAGCAGATAAATGCAGTTTTAGGTAGAAAATTGGCTAAAGACATCATAGAATATTTTAAGTAATTTACTTTTAACAATATCTAAAGAGGTAGAGAACAAGTAAATATAATTAAATGGATTTTAAAGAAATGATATATTTTTGGTATTTATTAAAATCCCATGCTATTCAGATTAAAGTGACATTTTTCTTGGCCTCAAAATAATTATATTGTATGAACTGATTGATGAAGTATAATTACTAACAATAGACAATACATTAGTTACCATACTTTTTACACACAGAGATATACACATAGAAACACATTTCTTATTACATGTGATTGCTATAAAACTTGTATCATATCATTTCTTTTCCTGTTTTTGAACCTACATTCCTGACTGTGAGAGCTGTTCAGCAGTGGAACTCTCTGCCCCGGAGTGTGGTGGAGGCTTTTTCTTTGGAGGCTTTTAAACAGGGGCTGGATGGCCATCTGTCAGGGGTGCTTTGAATGCAATTTTCCTGTTCCTTGGAAGGGGGCTGGACTGGATGACCCATGAGGTCTCTTCCAACTCTATGAGTCTATGATTCTAAATTAATTGTCAAAACTTCAGAACACTTTGAGAAAAAGAAAAATAAGTTTAATCAGAACTTAGTATTAATATTAACAATAGTAAGCACAAGTGACTTCAAAGATAAATGTCCTTCGGATAAAGATTGTGGTTAGTATTCTCTAACACACATCAGACTCCTCCTCCCATCAAAAATCGCATTTAAATATTATTTCCCTATGCTAATTTATTTATTATTTATTTATTTATTTACTGTCCTTGTATACCGCTGTTTCTCAGCCTAATTGGCGACTCAACGCGGTTTACAACAAAATATACAGTGCACAGTATACAATTAAAACCATAAAAAACATAATACACAATATTACACGAAATCACAATCCAATACATCTCCTAACTAAAATCGTGGTCCAATTGCATCCATTGCTAACCATTTTATGCAATTGCATGTATAAAATTACAATTGTCATTTCTTTGGGAAAATAATCTGGTTTGGGAGTGAGGTGAGGAGTGGAGATTGGTGGATTTGTTTATCATTTATTCATTCATTCAATTTGTATCCAATCTTACTTCCATGAATGGTAGTCAAGGTGGATCAGTCCTTTCCCATTCTGCTGTTTCTTTCCTTGAATCCATCCGCACAGAAACATAGGGTTCCAAATGAACATTTATTTTAATCCTATTGGACTATTTCGAACCCCCTCTGGTCTCAGAGTAAATTCAATTAATTCACTTTCACTCTTCTAGACATCCATTGGGGACTTTCCAGGGAAGGTGCTTTAGCACAAGAAAGAGATGAGTGGGTCCAGGTTAAGCACCCCCAACTTTGGTACTTCTCTGGTCCAGATCAATGCAAGATACCCTCTTTTTTCTTTCTCAAAATAAAAATATCCCCAGGTTTTTGTTACACACAAATTTGTGTCATGGACAAATGGCTTTAGGTTAATCGTCTTAACATTTAATGAAGTCCTTTACAGTGGCTGAGTCATTCAACAGGCCAAATGAGGGAGTAATAGTCTGCATGCCACTTTAATCCAAGATGCTTTAAGGGGGCATGCACAAGGTCTACAAAGCTGAACAAGTCAGTTTTGCAAGCTCCTTTCTAGGAAACCACTTATAAGTCCCAATGTAAATAGATTTGAATTTTATAGAGGTCAGCAAGATGCAAATATTTTTTTGTCTTTAAAACTCCGTAATTCTCATGCATTAAATGTTTGTCTCCAGTTCCTGAATCTGTGAATGAATATCTGGCCCACTATTGGGTGTTTTTATAATGTCACCCATCTACATGAAGACTGACCAGGCCTCTACCTTGAAGAATGTACAATCATCTGTACAAGGGAGACTGTAGATATGTGATTGTTTTGCTGGCGAAATATAAGAATTAAAGATTGAACTGTATGTTGGTCTGTTTTAGTGAACCTGATAAACTCCATTTTGACAATAGCTGACATCTCCCCATGTTTGCTGTGCTTGGCCACTTGTGCTATGCTAGAAATGCTGTAACTGCCATATGATGCACCCAGGGCCAGCAACCAGAAGTCATGGTTATATACAGTGCCAAAATCTGGGGAGTCCTCTTAAACTAAAAAGCAAGCTCTGGCTACATTCTGTTCTGGTCACATAGACCTTAGATAAGGAGGTCTGTTTTGTCCTTTGCACAGCAGGAAAATGTATGTATGTACTACATATTGCTCATGTGTCTTTATCTGTGTAACTCTGAAGTTGTATAAAATACTGGTGCTTGAAATGCACTTTATCTCTCTATCAGTGATGTGAGTAGGTTGGACAGCAAGACATTCGGAGTCCTGGTGAATGCTTTGTCTGTTTTCTTGCTCAGTTTCAGGGTTCACAGCAGCTCTGTGTCCCATTTGGGGGATATAGTGAAGCTGATATTTCAGTGCTACCCAACAATTTCAATTACAAATACTGAGAGTAATTTATAGTACACGTTGCATCTCTGGCTATTAATCTGTAGAAATCCAAAACAAATTCGATGTTGTGGTACTTTGCCACTCTCTCAAGGATGAAATGTTGCACTATAACCACACTTTGTTAATCTTGCTTGCCTAGGGTAACAATCAAGGGGGAATGGATCTGGATCTCATTTCACTCTCTTTCCTCCTTCAGGTGTCCTATGTTAAGGCCATTGATATCTGGATGGCTGTGTGCTTGCTGTTTGTGTTCTCGGCTCTTCTGGAGTATGCTGCTGTCAACTTTGTGTCCCGGCAGCACAAAGAGCTCCTCAGGTTCAGAAGGAGAAGGCGGCACCACAAGGTAGGCAATACACAAGTCAACACAATGTTGCAGAGCACAGCTGAAATGTCTGGGTTGCAGCACGAGGCCAACCTGATCAGGAATAGGTGTTAGGGATCATCTTGTTTGGCAGGCATGATTTTAGCATGCCATCCCTAGCTCTATAAGATTAACACTGTAATGTTGAAAGAGGAGGTATGCACATCATATGATGTAAATGAAAAGTGTCTGGAGGAGCCACTTGGCACAACTTCATGTTCTTGCAGACACATACCATCCCTTCAGATATTATGCTACATATCAATGATCACAGTGGATATACTGCACTTTAAATCTGTCCACTGTGCAAAGGGCAAAGCAGCCCCAAGTGTGTGTGAATACATTACAATGGAAGTTGAGATTCAGTGGTATCAAAATAGAAGGCCAGCTCAATCTCTGCTCCTCTGATGTTCAGCTTGCTCTCCTTTTTAGGAAAATCTGCCAATTCAAAAATCTGTCTTTGCAAAGGAAATTTTCCCTGTGATGTGTCCACATGCCACATTGTTTCATATGCAGCAACATGATTTATGTTACTCACATAGCTTTTTTTTTTTTTAGTTGAGTTGGGAGACAGGGGTCATTTTAGCATGGCATCATTTAAAAAGGCGGTTTTATATTGCATGAAAGGAAGTGCATCATATGTTTCATTTAATAATCTGAATGAGTACCTTTGCCTTCAAGCCAAGCATGATGCTTCCCTCAGGCTGGCCCTCCCTGTGCTTTTCAAGTTCAAATGTGCCTCTTCCAAGCGGATTTCATGACAATGCAGATTATAGAATCAGCCTCTGTATCCATTCATGTATTGAAAAATTCTTCCTTCCCCCCAAAATTCCAAAAGCCAAACCTTTATTTTACCATTTTATGGACACCATTTTACTATACCATTGTATATAGTGGGATTTCAGCATTCATAAAATGTTGGTATCCATGGTGGGTATGTTGTTTGTTTATTTGAATGTGGATGTCAAACTGAAGAATTGCCAAGAGAGAGAATATTCTGTGGACAATCTGAAAAATAATAATAGTTTTTATCCTGCTCCCTCTGAGAAGGCTGCCATTTGCTTTTTATAGGTTTTTCCTTCTAACAAGGAAAGCAAGAATTATACTAAATATAAATATAGGATGAGGGACACATTTCAAAACTGTATTGAGAGGAAACAGCAAATGCCCTGCTTTTTGAAACTTTAAATAATATCTCTCAAACCCCTTAAGATCAGAGCAGCTCAATAAACTGAATTTTTATTCCCCGGAGGACAGCATTCACCAAAGAAGTCTTGAGCAATCTACTACTTTATTCGAGTTTTGAAGGGTTGTTTTAGGGGATATTTTGAGACTTGTTTCTTTTTTCTTGTTTTCTTTATTCCTCCTTTCTGGGCTACTCAATTCTTAACAAAAGGCTGTGGAAGTTCACTAGCCTGGAAGAGCATGAATATTTCAATTGCCTTTTTATGCACCTCACCCTAAGATTGTCAGAGCCTTTTACGATTGACCATTTTGAAAAATCCCATGTCTGCAACCAAGATAAATAATAACACTAGAATGCAAGGCTGGGGTGGCAAGAGAGGAGAGAGTGACAGAACAGCAGATGATGAAAAGGATCTGCTTTCTGCTTTCTGCTTTTTTACTTTAAGGGTGACCACAACTGTTAAACAGGAAGACTGATGTGGGCCATTTGTCCAAATCAGCCCCATTCGTTTTAATAGTTGTTGTTGTTGTTGTTCATTCGTTCAGTCGTTTCCAACTCTTCGTGACCTCATGGACCAGCCCACTCCAGAGCTCCTTGGCAGCCATCACCACCCCGAGCTCTTTCAAGGTCAATCCAGTCACTTCAAGGATCTCATCCATCCATCTTGCCCTTGGTCGGCTCCTCTTCCTTTTTCCTTCCATTTTCCCCAGCATCGTTGTCTTCTCTAAGCTTTCCTTTTTTTCTCATGATGTGGCCAAAGTACTTCATCTTTGCCTCTACTATCCTTCCCTCCAATGAGCAGTTGGGCTTTATTTCCTGAAGTATGGACTGATTGGATTTTCTGGCGGTCCAAGGCACTCTCAGAACTTTCCTCCAACACCACAGTTCAGAAGCATTTAATAGAGTACCCCCAAAATTTTATAAATGAAAATTGGGACCATGCAACTTCAGACTGTGGTCAAGAGGACAGAGTTTATATAAGCCGTGTCCAACTGGAATACTGTGTCCAATTCTGAGCACCGTAATTTAAGGGAGATGTTGACAAGCTGGAATGTGTCCAGAGAAGGGTGACTAAAATGATCAAGGGTCCGGAGAACAAGTCCTATCATGAGCAGCTTAAATTGCTAGGCATGTTTAGCCTGAAGAAGAGAAGAATGTGAGGAGACATGATGAGGGCCATGTATAAATATGTGAGGGGAAGTCATAGGGAGGAGGGAGGAGGCTTAGTTTCTGCTGCCCTGGAGACTAGGACACAAAACAATGGCTTCAAACTACAGGAAAGGTCATTCCACCTGAACATCAGGAAGAGCTTCCCAACTGTTAGAGCTGTTCAGCAGTGGAACTCTCTGCCCTGGAGTGTGGCGGAGGCTCCTTCTTTGGAAGCTTTTAAACAGAGGCTGGAAGGCCATCTGTTGGGGGTGCTTTGAATGGGGTTTTCCTACTTCTTGACAAGGGATTGGACTGGATGGCCCATGAGGTCTCTTCCCACTCTCTGATTCGATGATGCAGTTATTTTTGCCATCTCTTAGTGAGCTTACTGAATGCAAAGCACTTTTTCATTTTATACTCAGTCAGCAGAAATTGATATTATTTATGTTCAAAATAGGGGGAAAACTGGGACATTTTAATAGATCCTCATAAAATAGGGCCACAGAGGATTAACTGACACTATCCCTGCCAAATGAGTATAGTCGTCAGGGCAGACTGGTATTACAGTGAGCTGTAATTACAAATCCACACATGTGGCTATATCAATAGTCTCTACACAGACATTTTTGACTCTTTTGAGCTCAACTCCCGTCCCCTTATGGGATAGGTCTGCCGTTGTGGCACTGCTACATTGCAGATTCTTGTCTCTCAGAACAAGGGAGCTTCACTTCTTGCTTTGCGCTGCTGCCACCTCCTGGCACAAGCTGGCTGTTTTTAAACATGGAAAGATGATCAGGAGCGACCACATTTTTGAGAGATGCCCCTGAAAAGTACCATGTCATCGTGAGGTTAAAAGGTTACCTTCCATCCAAGTTTTTAATTCATCCCTTCATTTTTAACAGAATGGTAATTTTCAATGCTTCATTTATCACATAAATTAAAATAGCAAAATCCACTTAATAACTTGATAACCCATATTTTCCTGTGTCACCATAATCTAAATCTGCCTATTAAATAAATTGGAAACTCTTTTTATACTTTAGTGCCAAAGTTGTAGGAATAATAGTTCTTTGAACTCTTGACTTCCTTTTATCTTGGTTCTAATTGAGGACAAATATTATGCATGCATGGAAATTCCTCGGAGAGGATAGCAGCTTGAACTGCTTGAAACCCCTCTGCAGCTGCATATATACTGGAGAACATTACCTATTACCAGAAGCAATTGTTCTTAGCAGGCTGTGATCTTTCCTCCTACTGCTTTTATCTTTTATACCAGCAACAGATCATTCCTCATTTTCCTCTGTTCCCCAAGAAGGTTGAAATAGAACAAATGGGGAACATATTTTTCCTTCAAAATACAAAATACTTTTTTGCGCTATCAGTTGTGTGTTCAGTGCCAGTGAGGTTTATAAACAAGATCAGAAAGGCAGCAAAGCATGTCCTTTTAAAAAGCCTACAAAAGCACAAGCTTTCAAACCAAATGCAATGTTTTAGGAATGCTCCAGTAAGAAAATGTTTTGATTTTGCTAGTTATTCCAGTATGATAATGTTGGGGGTGCTTTCCTGTTTCTTGGCAGAGGGTTGGACTGGATGGCCCACGAGCCCTCTTCCAACTCTGTGATTCTATGATAAAACCTAAAGAGTATAACATTTTCTTTCACTATACCAGATTTATTTATTTATTTATTTATTTATTTATTTATTTATTTATTTATTTATTTAAATTGAATCCAGGAGACAAGATTCATAACTGTTAAGTAACAAACATGACAAAAGGGGCATTTCAGATAATTGCATCTGCCTATTTTGTTCACATTATGACTTTCTGTAGAAATAAAACTCAAGGGTGCTTTATAAAAATTACAGCGGATACTGATAAGGAGGTTTGCTGTTGCCTTCCTCTGAGAAAGAAACAGAGGGAGGGATTTGGCTGAAGTCACCGATTGGGTTTGCATGGTCAAGCAGGAATTTGAACCCTGGTTTCCCAGAGTCCTCCTCCAATATTCAAACCAGTATGCCTTGCTGGCTATCTTTCATACTGATTTACTTTACCAAATATGTGTGTGCTGCCTGCAAGTCACCTTCAACTTATGGCAACCTCATTAATTTCTTATCTGCTAAAACACAGCAAATTACAAATACAAAATTATACATTTGCTTTAAAGCACTTCCATAAGAAATACATTAAAAGTTCAGCATATCTTAGATCTACTATTTAAGCCCTCTCCCCCCTCCCCAAAATATAAAGTTTTTTGCTGGGACATCAAGTCACAGAAGGGAAGAAGTTATTTATTATTATTTATTTAAAACATTTATATTCCACCCTTCTCACCCCAAAGGGGACTCAGGGCGAAGCACAGCATATACACAGCAAACATTCAATGCCGGGACACAGATTCACATACAATACATAAACGTTAAAAACATTTATCAAAAAATTAAAATACACAATTTAAAACCATTCTAGTCATCCGCATCAAGTCTAATTGGCTTGGTCATCTTTCCTATTGCCGCTTTATTGCCGTATCCCGAAAGCTTGGTCCCACAGCCAACTTTTTACCATCCTTCTAAAGAACAGGAGGGAGGGGGCCGACCTGATCTCACCAGGAAGGGAGTTCCATGGCTGGGGAGCAATCACCGAGCCAGC